CTCAGGCAATCCACTCACCTCAGCCTCCCAAAGGTGCGGGATTACAGGCTGAGCCACCGAGCCCGGCTTTTTTTTATTTTTTATTTGGAGTCTCTGTCGCCCAGGGTGGAGTGCAGTGGCATGGTCACGGCCACTACAGCCTTGACCTGCTGGGCTCAAGCAATTCTTCCACCTCAGCCTTCCAAGTAACTGGAACTACAGGTGCACGCCACCACGCCTGGCTAATTTTTGATTTATTGTGAAGACAAGGTCTCGCCAAGCTGCCCAGGCTGGTCTCCAACCCCTGGGCTCAGACAGTCCTTTCACCTCCACCTTCCAAAGTACAGGGATTATAGGCATGAGCCACCATGCCTGGCTGGATTGTACCTTGACTAAGGTCCAAATTCCCTATTGCTTGACAGCTCCTTTCTCTCCATCCACAACTTCCACTACTCTCTCCAATTCAGCTGTTTGTTTGTTTCTTCTCCTTATTGTCTATTTAGGTTGTTTCCTCTATGATCCTCCAACATTCCTTACCGTTTCCTGACTCACATATGTCCCCTCTGCTTGGAAGCTCTGACTTCTCACCCTGTAGCTCTCAGCTCAGATGCCGCCTTTCCAGAGCTTTCCCCAGTCACCTTATCCGGGGTCCATCTGCTCACCGTTATTCTCTGTTAGGTCAGGCCCAAAATGGGGGGTGTCTTGTCTGTGATCTGGTGCCACTCAAAAGATGCAAAGAATTGCACAGAAGTTAGATTGGGAAATATTATTTATTTAGAAAGTAAATTATATAGAGAGAGGAGATTCACCTTCCCAAGGTAGGGGACAGGGGTAAAACTAGGAAACATGGTGGCCATAGCTCAATGAGCCACATGTACACACCAGAGTTTAACAAAGCAATGGCGAATGGCCGCTTGAAGTTGATTGCTTTTAAACATTCCCTTTGATGGGGGCAGGTCGATAAGGTGATTGGGTGGTTGTCTTTTTCACATTATGGTGAAGGGCAGGTGAGCACAGGTACTGACATCATGATGATGGATGATGGCAGGTAGATGGGTGGGTTAGTCACATGACACCTGCCATGTTGATGGGGCCTGTGCCATGGAAGTCATGAAAGTCTGATTAGGTTAACTTGTTAACTGTGGAGGGGGCTGTAAAACAATCAATAGCTAGTTTGAGAACCAGTTCTGTCCTTGGCTACTAGTTAGAGGTCAATTAAAGCGAACTACTCAAAAAACATGACAGATGTAGGCAGTGTTAAAATAGCTGTTCATGGGGGGAGGGGGATGGGATTAACAGTAGCAAATATCTGTCTGGGGAAGAGGAAACACCTCTTATCAACAGGGTGCCTGAATGAAACGTAATTGTACACCTAACCCTTAACTGTACCCCACAAAACCATAATAAAAAATATCGGTTAAAAAAAAATCGAACAAAAAAATAGCTGTTCATTGGGTATATTGATGCCATCTTGGTCCTTCATTCTTAGTCATGATCTTTCCTTGTGCATTTACTTAATATTGCTGCAGCTAATATTCGAGCACTCAAGCACTTTTCATACTAATGAAGTGGTGTGCTGCTTGGGGCTTATCAATGGGTGATAAGTGTTTGTAGTGTTTGCTGATTCCTATGGTGTAAACATTCCCATCAGGAGGGATTTCAAGCTACCAGACTGAGGTAATACCACCATTTTGGAAGAGAAGGACATTAGTTAGCAAGTCATTATAAGACATGTCATACAATACAGCAGTGGTGAATAACTCTGGAGCGCACAGGCAAAACAAAAGTGTTGTAAAACAACTAGGAAGCGATGAGTTTTGAGTATTTATTCCTTTGTCTTTTACATGTGTGTATATATATATATATATATTTTTTTTTTTTTTTTTTTGAGTTGGAGTCTCACTGTCACCCAGACTGGAGTGCACTGGCTGCTCCCGGCCACTGCGGCCTCGACCTGCTGGGCTCCGGCAATCCTTCCGCCTCAGCCTTCCAAGTAGCTGGAACTACAGGCGTGTGCTACCACGGCGAGCTAATTTTTTGATTTATTGTAGAGATGAGGTCTCGCCTGCTCAGGCGGGTCTCAAAGCCGTGGGCTCAGGCAATCCTCTCACCTCAGCCTCCCAAAGGCGCGGGATTACAGGCTGAGCCACCGAGTCCGGCCGTCTTTAATATATTTAATTGTAAGTTTATATTATTTATTTTTTGTAGAGACAGTCTCACTATGTTGCCCAGGCTCGACTAAGGCAATCCTCTTGCCTTGGTATCCCAAAGTCCTGGGATTACAGGCTTGAGACACGGCACCTGCCCTTATATAATTTATTTTTATTTTTTAATTTTTTGAATTGGAATCTCACTCTGTTGCCCAGGCTGGAGTGCAGTGGCACCACCATCAGGGCTCACTACAGCCTCGACCCCCTGGGCTCGGGTGATCCTTCTGGTCCTCCTGCCTCAGCCTCCAGAGTAGCTGGGACTACAGGGGTGCTACCATGCCCAGCTAATTTTTTTATTTTTGTAGAGACAAGTCTCACCAAGTTGCCCAGGCTGGTCTCAAGCTATCCTCCTACCTCAGACTCCCAGAGTGTTGGGATGACAGACGTGAGTCCCCGCCCCCTGCTGCTTATACAATTTAATTTTCTTTTTTGAGTTGGAGTTTCACTCTGTCGCCCAGGCTGGAGGGCAGTGGCACGCTCACGGCCACCGCAGCCTCGACCTGCCGGTTCAGGCGACCCTTCCGCCTTAGCCTTCTAAGTAGTTGAAACTACGGGCGTGCTCCACCACGCTTGGCTAATTATTATTTTTATTTTATTGTAGAGATGAGGTCTCACCAAGTTGCCCAGGCTGGTCTTAAACCCCTGGACTCAGGCAATCCTCTCGCCCCGGCCTCCTCAAGTGCTGGGATTACAGGCGTGAGCCACCGCGCCCGGCTGTTCAATTTTCAATAGCGTTGCAGCGACTGGCAACACTCCTAAGCCGTCTCCAGCGAGCCTCCGATCCGCAGCTTCCAGACGAGGGACCGGAGACGCCCGAGGTTCCGCAGGGCGCTGAAGGCCGGGAGCTGGTCATCCTGTCCCCGCCTTCAGGATGCGCACGTGGGCCGCCAGGTGGGGGGCCTTCAGGAGACACTCGAAGAGCAGAGGAACATCACGTTTGATATCACAAACCGTTACAGACAAACCTTGTACCTTTAAGCACACGCACAGTGAAGGGAACGTCTCCGCGGCTCGCCACGTTCCGGGAGGCGCCGACTCCAGCTCCCCGCGCAGCCGCTGGCGCGAGGCTTCCTGGGAGTAGGGTTCCCTGCGTTCCACGGAACCACAGAGGAGGGCGCGCTCCGGCTCGCGGAACTACAGAGGGCGGCGCGCCGGCCGCGCGCCTCCGCCTCGCCGGCCCTCCCCGCCTGCGCGCCTGCTCAGGTATCATGGCGGCTCCCTTGGCCCTGGTGCTGGCGGTGGCCGTGACCGTGCGAGCGGCTTTGTTCCGCTCCAGTCTGGCCGATTTCGTTTCTGAGCGGGTGGAGGTGGTGTCCCCACTGAGCTCTTGGAAGAGAGGTGAGGCCACCGGCACGAAGGCCGGCAGGCCCGGCCGGCGCCGTTCGGCCTCAGTGAAAAGGGAGGCCAGGGCAGTGCCCGCGCGCGCCTCGCGGAGAGCCGATCCGCTCACGGGGTCCTCGGAGGGGGCAGGAGGAAGGCGCTGCTGAGGGGAGGGGGCGTGGGGCTGTGTCGCCAAGTTAGGGCCTTGGGGCCGGGCTACCTTCAGAGGGGGGACCCGAGGGGGCGTGTCTCATTCAGAGTCCGGAGCCCAGGGGTGCGGCCCGCGGAGGGGTCTGGACTTGGCGCCAGGCAGCGAGCGGGGCTTCCTGTTGTAAGGGGATGGTGTGACGGGGTCGGGAGGACTGTGTACCCGCGTGCGCTCGGATGCCTCTTCACAGTCTGGGACTTGAGTTCGTGTTTTCTGCTGTTCGGTCTCTCCAAGTTGCCCAGACTGGTCTTCAACCCCTGGGCTCGAGGTTCTCCCGCCGCGGACTCCCAGAGTTTTGGGATGACAGGCGTGAGCCACCTGACACCCATTAGGAGACACAGAGCTTGGACTGAAGGGGCCACAGGCTAGTGAGGGAGACAAATCGTTATAATTTGTGAAAAGCGGACTTACTGTGTCCACTTAGTTCTTATTGTTCTGACCCTGAATAAACTGCCCCCTTCTTTTTGCCGTTTTCTAAGTATGCTTGATTTGAGCTGACTCTTGAAGGATATTCAGTTTGGAAAGGAGGATTAGAGAAAAGGGGAATTCTAGGTAGCAACGTAAATTGGATCAAGAAATGTTCAAGGATGTGAAATGTCCAAAGTAGGGAGCGATGGGCTACAAGCTAAGTCAGGACCAGAGTTTGATGATTAAAAAAAAAAAAAAAATTAAGCCGGGCTCGGGGGCT